TGCTCCCCATTTACCGCCTTTGGTTTCGGTTGATTTCCGTAATTTAAAAAAATCAGAGGTTTTTACATACTGCTGAATTCTGGTTCTGTCCTCAGCATAAAACTGTGTTTCAGGTGTTAGAAGGCAAATGTAAAATCTCTGGAAGCAAGTAAAAAATACTTTCACATACTGAGGCATACACTTAGGTAAACAGATAGGACAAAATAAAATCAAGAAAATCAAAAGAGAAGATACACAGGTATAGGAAAGGTCACCTAGCTCCCTAAAATAAGTTATGAGGTGTTACTCCCCAAATACAGACGGTTTATATAGTCTTTTAAGGGAAAAAATGCAATAGCAAAACAATCTAATATAGTAACTAATACAAGACGTAATAATAATAGCGATCTGCCCTCTCCTTGCTGTGCCTCGGCCCTTGCCACACAACGTGCAGCGTAAAACGTTGTCCATTCGCAGTCTGGCTACAGTCAGATGGATCCAGGTCACATCCTGATTCTACCACTTACAAGCTGTGCAAGCTTGGTCAGGTTCCCTACCTTCTCTTTGCCTGTTGCCTCGTCTGAGAAGTGGAAGTTCTAATACTTCTTGTTCCCGTAGGTTCTTATAAAACTGAGCTGATGACGGACATCAGACCCAGGGATGCCCACCTGGGAGGCAAAGGAAACCATGCTTCCTTAACAATGTTGGCCAAACCTTCTCCCTACCTACTCCTTGAGAAGTATTCTCAGTTTGTACGTGAATAAGCAGAGAAAGATATACACGTCTATCTCTGTAAAAACCCATCCCAAAGTTTCCACAATGCATTCTACAAAAGACTATTCCAAAGACGTGAACCAAGAAAAGTTCAAGGTAATGTTAGTATATACATGAAAAATCTCCCCATCCCACTATCCAGATTCATAGGCTGAACAGATTAAAGTCTCGGGAAAATCTTACGTAGTACTGTCCTAAACTTGTTTGACCAGGTCAACTCTTGAAAATACTGAATTATCCTCCACAAGTCAAATCAAAACAATCTCTTCTCTGAGATCACTTCAAAGCTCAACAAACTATATACCACCAAATTCAAAACAGCAGTATCTATACCCTATGAAAATAAAACTTTTCCACGTTGTAAGATTGTACTAGCTAGTAAGGAGAGACCAACTATCAATACACAGGATAGAAAAATACACAGTAAAGCCAGGAGAACACTGGAAATTTTATGAATAGGATCCCATCTCCAACACCCTATAAGTAAAACGTGCATGCTTTTTTGATCTGCATGTGTCCACTTTTATAGGACTAAACACATCTCAGAATCTGAGAGCCTCCAATAACCCACAGGTTAATGAAAGCCAAATATGAGGGAGAGCTTTCAACAAAAGAGGAATCCACCTGAACTCAAACAGCCTGACAGTTACAAAATACTAGTTAAAAAGGAGGGATGTTCCAAACCAAAAAAAGATCTTCTATTTGACTTATTTGCAGATACTCGGGGAGGTGGGGGGAAATCTTGCTTATGCTAAAATATTACCAGTGACAAAGAAACTTGTCGCATTATAGAAACAAAATATAACCAAGAAAATAGAAGCCTAGCAATTCACATTAATAAAAAGGTTTGCCCAAATCACATCCCTTCACACAAGGAGAAGCAGGCCATGTTCTCGGACTTGTCTGCATCGGGTTCAATTTCAAATTCACCCTGTGTCTGAGGAGCTCTTCCAGCGATTCTTTTAGTGAGGGGCTCACAACCTCAAGAATTCTGGGAAGGATTATTCAGCCCCAGTGTATTACATAACTCATCTAATTGCGATCTGCAAAGGCAGTGTTAACTGGTTTCACATCGAGTTTCCCTTTATGTGCTTAGCAGTGGGCAGAACTGAAAATTGAGTTTCCTAAGTGAAAATGAAAGTAACGGATCACCAGACCTGCTCTTTGCCGGTGAAGTGAAGACCATCATCTCTAAAACACCTTCGTGCCGTGCCAGGCAGCTACCAAAGGGACCGGGATTAGTCACCGAGTTTGCTTAGTGCCAGCATGTTTTCAGTAAGAGATGAGGACTTGAGAATTTCCTCTGCACTGAAGCCCAAATTTAACACTCGATGCCTTTATTATTAATGATAACAATGAATTTGATTCTCTCCCAAAGAAGAAGAAAATCGGAGGCTGGGATGAAGGCTTTAAAACGCAGGATTTGTGACGCCCATCAGTAAACCATATCGCCACTCTGCTTTTCAACACATAGTAAAGACTGTGGAATCCAGAAAACAAGAAGACATGAATGACGCCACAATAGGGACGTCTGCACAGACACTTGATGTTTTTCTCATACCTGGAGTAGAATTTCCCTTGCTTGGCTCTCTGTTCATGCTGTAGCCTCATATTTTCTAGTTTGACTGGGCTTGGAATGAATCCGATTTCACAGCCTTCTTTAACCAGTCGCCCTATCCACCAGTCATTGTTAAATTTCTAAACACAAAATCAAAATTTGTTACCATCAGTGTGCAGAACTTCGTGTCTTCAGACTTTCTTCTACATGAACTGTTTTCAGTGGAGAGAAATATTATGGCGAATACAGTTAACTATGCCTCAACATCACAAGTGGAGAAATCCTAAAGGCTTCATGGGTTGAACATCTAAGACTAAAGTATTGCCAGTGAGCTCAGCAGCTCATCATAGGATATATCCCACATTCCCTTTCCTGGTTTGGTTCGAGCCTAGCCTGAACCTCAGTGCGGCCTCTGCGGGCCCCTTGTTCAAATACTAACTCTTCCTATTAAGAACCAAGGAGTGCTACAGAGTTCTTTCCTGTAATCATATTACTTAAAAATAGTAAGAGATAAATCCTGAAATCTGCCTGAAATATTTTGTGTCAGAGCCAAATCTCCCTGTATGCAAACAGGTTTATAATTACAATGGTACGGTGTTCACCGGTGATTTCTCCACTTATGTGGATGTGGACAATTTCTCTCTTGTGGATAGAATGTTTATCCTACATCTTTATGACTTGGTTTTACTTCTCTCAATGGACTAGGACTTTTCCAGTCTATTCCTGAACATTTCAAAGAAGAATATCCGCTGTTTTTCTTTCCTTTCCATGGTAGAGAAGAGATCTGTCTTTAAGTATCAGTCCTCAGGAGGAGACCCTTGATTAACCTAACTTTTGGCTGGAAATTCACATTCTAGGCATGCCATCATTTCTGACAGCGTTTATGATCTTTCCTTTCCAGCCAGTATCTTGTACTTCTTTCTAAAAAGTTAACGAAATAGTAGGTTCTAAATTCTTTATGCTTTCTTTTTCCTTACATACATAAAAAACATTTTGGAATCGAGGCTAAAACTGTACCTCTCCACACCTCTTTACTACACAGAGTTTTAGAGTATGGATTTATTTTTTCTTTAATAAAATTTCTTTATTGGAGTCTTGTCTAGGCTATCTTATTTTTTTAATTTCTTTGGTCTAGGCTTTTTTAATTCCAAGTCATCGCCTCCTCTTCTTACAGCCTTTATCATAGTGAGCAGTTAAATTTATATACGTTCTTCCTGACACACCATCCCTTAGATGGAAGTCTGTGCCGATGGTCATTCCTACAGGCCCAAAGAAACCTGATGCTCACACACTGAGAATATCACTCAGGGGGAATTTCTGGTCATTTAATATCACGTTCTGCACAGCTGGCATTTGGTAAATGCTGACTCACAAGAAAGCTTAATTAAGGGTGATTTTTTCCAATGTACAGACAGGAGTCGTTGTTAACTGACAGGTGGAGACTTTTGGCACAGAGGAGGAGGGAATGCCCTGCTTTCTGCTGCTTGTATGACTGGCTCCAATTCCTGCCTCTAATTCCTGCCTTTCTCCCGCTGCTGTGCACATTTACCCCCGAAAGAAACACCAGAGCACCGCTGGTCTGCATTTGGCCATGGTCCGCAGAGAGGAGAGATCAGGAATTCTAGGTATTATTATGAACTCTCCCCAGACGGTTAAACTTGAGACGCGAGGGGGAATCGACATGGAGCCAAGGTTAAAAATTAAAAGAAAAAGGACAGGTTAAGCATAAAAACGGATCACATACTCCAGTAATTCCCAATTTCTGGGTCACAGAGCCCAGGGGAGCCCTGAGGTTACTGGCAGAGGCCTGTGACTTCTTTCTTCTTTAAAAAGGTTATATTTATATTAGCAAAGGTTGAGAGGCACTGAATCTGTGCACGTTACACAAGTGCAGCGTGTATTTCTGCAATGCTATTTCACGGCAGTGAGAGATAAGAAATGATGTTTCAAGGTGGAAAAGTCATGTGGGTAGAAATTCGAATTATTTTCCTTACTTCCTTAACATGCAGAAAATCTTTTGCTTCGAAGGAGATGGCCATGCCTGGCACCGGAACGTCATCCTCGTGGGCCGCACTATAGCTGACATTTGTCCGAACAGCAAATGCAACGGGCTTTGTCTACAGAGAGAAAAGAAAGGGAGAAAAAAGTAAAAAAGAAACCTCCGACATACAAACATACACTGAATACTGTCATTCTTTAAATTTTTTAATGTTTTTTAAATTTATTTCTGAGAGAGGGAGACAGTGTGAGCAGGGGAGGGTCAGAGACAGAGGGAGACACAGAATCTGAAACAGGCTCCAGGCTCTGATCTGTCAGCACAGAGCCTGACGTGGGGCTCGAACCCACGAGCCAGGGGATCATGACCTGAGCTGAAGTCAGATGCTTAACCAACTGAGTCACCCAGGCGCCCCTACTGTCATTTTTTTAACGATGTTTTTATTTATTTATTTTGAGAGCGAGGGAGAGAGAGAATCCCAAGCAGGCTCCATGCTGCCAGCACCGAGCCTGATGCAGGGCTCGATCCCACGAACTGTGAGATTGTGACCTGAGCTGAAATCAAGAGTTGGACCAAATCAAGTGCCAACCACCAGAGTCACCCAGGTGCCCCTGGTCACTGTTTTCCTGCCTTGGTTCTTTAGTGTTCACAACACGTAAATCTTTTCACCATTTCTGAACTTAGCGATTTTTTCACCTTGTGGATAAACGGGAATCGCCTAACAAGGACAAATACTTCCCCGTAAAGTTGCAAAGCATCAAGTAACGAAGGGTGGCTTCGTTCACGTTATTTTTGTGCCCTCAGCCACATACCACCCATTTCTAAACTAGAAAACGGCCACTGTTCTCTTTGCAAACACAAGAGATAAAGTGCCCATTTTCTTTGGTTTCAGTGAAAAAGACTTAACAATCACCACTCTCACCCCAAACAGCTACTTTAGTTAATAATTAATGACACAGCTATAGGAAGTACAGTGTTTTGGGTGAAAAAAGAACCAGAGAATATATTTCATGGAAGGCTGCAGGGAATTATGAAAATCAATGACATTTAATTCTATTACTTTTCCTCCTGGAGTTGAGTCAGCCATTAAAGATGGTAACATGAATGAAGTCACCTTTTTTAAAAAACATTTTATTTATTTGGGGGCATCTGGGTGGCTTAGTCAGTTCAGCATCCAACTCTTGGTTTGGGCTCAGATCATGATCTCATGGTTCGGAAGTTCAAGCCCTGCATCGGGCTCAACACTGACAGTGCAGAGCCTGCTTGGGAATCTCTCTCTCCCTCTCTTTCTGCCCCTCCCCTGTTCTCTTTCTCGGTCTCTCTCAAAATAATCTTAGAAAAAATTTAAAATTTATTTAAATTCAAATTAGTTAACATATCATGTAGTATTGGTTTTAGGAATAGAACCCAGTGATTCATCACTTACAAACAAGTAGAAGAACCCAGTGCTCATCCCAAGTGCTTTCCTAATGCAACCGATAGAATGGGAGAAGATATTTGCAAATGACATATCTGATAAAGGGCTGGTATCCAAAATCTGTAAAGAACTTATCGAATTCAACACCCAAAAAACCAAATAACCCAGGGAAGAAATGGGCAGAATCTATGAATAGACACTTCCCAAAGAAGACCTCCAGATGGCTAACAGACACAGGAAAAGATGCTCAACATCACTCATCACCAGGGAAATACAAATCAAAGCCACAACGAGATACCACCTCACACCTGTCAGAATGGCTAAAATTAACAACTCAGGAAAACAACAGGTGTTGGTGAAGATGTGGAGAAAGGGGAACACTTTTGCACTGTTGGTGGGAGTGCAAACTGGTGTGGCCACTCTGGAAAACAGTACGGAGGCTCCTCAAAGAACTAAAAATAGAACTACCCTACAACCCAGCAATTGCAGTACTAGTTATTTGTCCAAAGGATACAAAAATGCTGATTTGAAGGGGTACACGCACCTCTGTGTTTATAGCAATGCTATCAACAATAGCCCAATTGTGGAAAGAGCGCAAATGTCCATCAAATGATGAATGGAGAGAGAAGAAGTGGTATACATATACAATGTAATATTGGTCGGAGATCAAAAACAATGAAATCTTGCCATTTGCAACAACCTGGATGTAACTAGAATGTAATATGCTAAGCGAAATAAGTCAAAGAAAGACAAAAGTGGCATTGCCTTAAAGGGCACTGTGTTTCTGTATGTTATGGGCCAGTCACCTTGTTCTGAGCAGTTTTTCCTTACTGAAGGAGTTCTTTGACTATGCTTGTCAGGAGGGAAAGGAGGGGTTTGGAATAGTTGCCCATAATTATTTCACTGAAACACAATCCTGGATAGTGATGGTGCCTCCATTTTTCTTGAAATTTCTTTACATACATAGATTCTGCTCCCACAGCTATAATCAAAAGGTATTTTTTTTTCATCCAGCCTTTAAAGTAACATACTATATTTTTCATGTGATATGCTTTTTAAATCTGCCATTTCAAAAATATTCAAACCATTTACCTTTTTTTGATACTTGGGTTTATAGTTTATTCACTATGATAACTATTCTACTTTGAAAAATCTCTATACGAAAAGCTTCTATTTAGAATTCTCTCCCTGGGACAGATTCCCAGAGGTAGCATGAGTAAGCCAGTTATCAAAACCTTTTTAAGTTCTATTCCAAACTACTATCTAAATGGGCTGCTCCATTTTAAATTACAACCAGCACTATATGATGGTGCCCTTTAAAACAAGATGTAGTCTTCATCAGATTTGGGTTTGCTGCCAGAATTAGGATTTTCTTTTTAATTTTTTTTTAATGCTTATTTATTTTTGAGCGACAGAGACAGGGGAAAGGCAAAGAGAATGGGAGACACAGAATCTGAACCAGGCTCCAGGCTCTAAGCTGTCAGCACAGAAGCCAACACGGGGCTCGAACCCACAAACCGTGAGATCATGACCGGAGCCAAAGTTGGACGCTTATCCAACTGAGCCACACGGGTGCCCCAGGAATAAGATTTTCTTGAATCGATCTTTCTATTATTCAGGAGAGTTTCAGATCATAAAAATATAGATCAAAAAAAATTTTTATGTTAGCATGATCATTTCCCTCAAGGCTTTTAAAAATTTTTTAAAGTGTATTTATTTATTTATTTTGAGAGAGACAGAGAGCGAGCGGGGGAGGGAAAGAGAGAGAAGGAGACAGAGGATCTGAAGCAGTCTCTTCGCTGACAGTGGAGAGCCCAATGCTGGGCTCAAACCCATGAACTGAAGCCAGACACCCAGCCAACTGAGCCACCCAGGCACTCCTCCTCCAAGGTCTTTGATTCCTCGGAGGATATAGCGATTAGGTGTGGCATATGTTCTTTCATCCCTGGAAGACATAAAATTTAAATGTACATCTCTACATAGGACCCCATGGAAATCTCATGTCTTCTACACATTAACTTTTCAAAGAAGAAACACTGACAAACAGAAAAACAAACTAAAGGTGTGGTGAAGGCTCGCATGTAGTAACAAGAGCCACAGATCATAATTTTCTGTTCTGACAGTGTAAGACATCCATACGGAACATGCATCGTTCCTTGGCTCACCTCCTGTAACCAACAATTCTAGCACTGGATATGGAGTTCTATACGGGAATCAGCTTTATACACCACACAGGGAGGAGAGAACAGCAGAATCCCATCCCTGACTAGCTTCACTTCAGGAACTGCATTTCTAAGATTAGAATGGACAACAAAAGGGGCGCCTGGGTGGCTTAGTCGGTTAAGCATCCGACTTTCGCTTAGGTCATGATCTCGCGGTTCATGGGTTCAAGCCCCGCGTCGGGCTCTGTGCTGACAGCTCAGAGCCTGGAGCCTGTTTCCAATTCTGTGTCTCCCTCTCTCTCTGACCCTCCCCTGCTCACGCTGTCTCTCTCTCCCTCTCCTAAAAAAAATAAATAAAACATAAAAAAAAAAAAAAAAGAATGGACAACAATGAAAGTAGAGAGGAAGAAAAAGGCTTTATCAAAATACGAGAGCTTACCTGCTAGAGAGAAATACCCCAGGATGCCAACCAAAGGGACCAAATGACAACATCATTCCCTGAACTCACTTCAGCACTGACTCAAGCAGCGCACCTACTAAGTGGAAGACATTTTCCACATCAATTCCACGCATCTGGGTTCACGCGTCTGGTACTTTAAAAGGCCTGGATTTGAAAGTTGATCCTGCCATTTACCAGGTAAGTGGCCCGGGCATATTTCTCATTCTCGCTGAGCAATGTTTCCTCCTGGCTGAAATGAGAGTCGTGACACCACTACGGCAGGGCGATCGTGAGATTTCAGAAAATGCCATGTCACAAGTTATGGGAGAGCCTGCCATTTGCAGCGGCATGGTTGGACCCCAAGGGCATTAAGCTAAGGTAGACTAAGGCAAATTCGGGTATCACCTCACTGGTATGTGGAATCTGACATCCCCCAACCCCATATCCAAACTCACAAAAAAATGCATGCACAAGGCCAGGCCTGTGCGTGGAACAGAGAGAATGTTCAATAAATGCCATAACAAATGCCACCATAACAAATGCCATGCCTAAATAAACGTTTGCCCATATTCACCCATCTTTTAAGGCCCCACCTGAACTGTCTTCTCTGTGCTCTTCCACTCTGCCGCTGCTCAGACCAAACCAGTTAAAAGAGGTGAACGGCAGCCATGTTTTCCCCCAGCGTGGATTCCTTCATACTCTGTCGGATAGGAGAACACAGTAGGGACTTCCCAGACTTGTTTTGCTGACACTATCCTACTCTTTAATTCTGATTTTCTTTGAATGTCTTCAGACACAGGGGCTTTATTTTCTTTTCTTTGTAACCGACGTGAAGTCCCACGGGAACATGTCTTGAGGACTCTCTGCATTTTTATCCCATGAAACCATTTTTAAAACTCAAACGCATCCTGCTTTCAGCTGGCCTCTGCATCTCTGGCCTCCTGGCGGTGCGGTCCAGGCCTCAAGGACTCCCCTTCGTCACTTGGGCCTCTCAGCCTCGTTCCCACTCAGAGCCCGGAAGCCTGCCTTGTTTTTCTCCTTCCAGTGTTATGTCTCCGATCAGGACCCCGGGACGGGGGTCAGCTGACCCCCACTCCACACTC